GTTACGGAAGGGAGAGGGATAGAGAGTTAGAAACATCAATGAGAGAGAAACATCGATCAGCTGCCTCCTACACACCTCCTACTGGGGATGTGCCTGCAACCAAAGTATATGCCCTTGACCAGAATAGAACCTGGGACCTTTCAGTCCGCAGGCTGACGCTCTATCCACTGAGCCAAACTGGTTAGGGCTGAATTTTATATTTTAATGGAAGCTATCTTATATCTAAAAATTAAAAAAGAGGGGACCTGTTAATAGTTTCATTACTGTCGATTGGAACATCTAAAATGTTTGCTATTATCATATCTGTGTGTGTATAACTCAAAAAATTAAAATCCTTAAATGATTTTGAAAGTTTACCAAGCTACCTTTCATCAGGTAAAAACTCAGGACTGTAGGATTATGAAGAATTTCATTAAGTCAGCCAATACCAACTTTGGCACAGTCATGGAGTCATAGTTCAAAAAGTGGACTTTTTTTTTACTTATTTTTTTGTTTAGCTTAATCTTTCATAGTGATAGAGACAGTTGAAGTTATATAAGGATAACTTTGGTTAAAAGAAAAGTGAAGGCTGCTTTATAATTTTTTTTCTCCTTTTGTGATTTCAGTGCCTTTAGAAAACTAAAGCATGGTTATTTTCATGTTTAAATATTAATGATGGCTATTACTTATACTTACATATTGCAGCAATTGTGGTGAATACAAGATTAGCCCAACATTTTAATTTTTTGAGATGTGACAAGTATAAATGAGTCCTGGAATTGGAGTCAGAAAAGTTGGGCTTGAGTCACAATGTTCATTAGTAGGTTCTTTATATTTCAGTAGCAGTAGCGGTAGCACTAGTCATGTAAACTAAATGTCTATAAAATTATTGTTTGAGATCTCCTTTTAAGGATAGATGACCATGAAGAATTTTGTGCTTAAAATACTGTTCTCTGCTAATTCCATAACAATCATATTTGCATAACTCTCTGGCAAAGCTTGACTTCCACTATTAGGATTTTTTAATTTTGCCAATTTACCTTAACCATTTTTCTCCCCTAGAATAACAACAATCTTGAAGCCTGTTGCCGAGCCCTTTCCCAGGAAAGTAGCAAATACTTATATATGGAATACCATAGTCCAGATGACAACAGAATGAATAGAAATCGCCTTTTGCATATTAACCTGGGTATCCATTCTCCTAGTAGCTACCACCCAGGAGATGGAGCACAACTTAATGGTGGTCGAACACTGGTACATAGCTCAAGTGATGGACATATTGATCCACAGCATGCAGCAGGTAAACAATTGATATGTTTAGTTCCGGAACCACACTCGGCCCCAGCTGTTGTGGCTGCTACTCCAAACTACAATCCATTTTTTATGAATGAACAGAACAGAAGTGCAGCTACTCCTCCTTCACAGCCACCTCAACAGCCATCTTCGATGCAAACAGGAATGAGTCCATCTGCTATGCAAGGGCCTTCACCTCCTTCATACATGCACATACCTCGGTATAGTACAAATCCAATTACTGTTACAGTATCCCAAAACCTCCCTTCTGGACAGACTGTACCAAGAGCTTTACAAATTCTTCCACAAATTCCAAGCAATCTCTATGGGTCTCCTGGTTCTATTTATATTAGACAGACATCTCAGAGTCCATCAGGAAGACGAACTCCTCAGAGTACCCCATGGCAGTCCTCACCACAGGGCCCAGTGTCTCATTATAGCCAACGTCCTCTACCTATTTATCCACATCAACAGAACTATCAACCTTCTCAGTATTCTCCCAAACAACAACAGATCCCTCAGCCTGCTTACCATTCGCCACCTCCTTCGCAGTGTCCTTCACCCTTCAGCTCTCCACAACATCAAGTGCAACCTTCACCGTTGGGCCACCCGAGTTCCCACGTCTTTATGCCCCCTAGTCCTTCAACTACTCCACCTCATCCATATCAACAAGGACCTTCTAGCTATCACAAACAGGGAAACCATTCAGTAGCTTATCTCCCATATACAACATCTAGCTTACCCAAAGGATCCATGAAGAAGATAGAAATTACAGTTGAACCCTCTCAAAGGAGTCCTTCACCTATCAGTAATCAGCAGTCTCCACGGAATCAGCACTCGTTGTACACAGCCACCACTCCACCCTCAAGTTCTCCTTCAAGAGGGATATCCAGTCAACCAAAACCTCCATTTAGTGTTAATCCTGTGTATATTACATATACACAGCCAACTGGACCTTCATGCGCTCCATCACCATCTCCTCGTGTAATACCAAACCCAACTACAGTTTTTAAAATTACCGTAGGCCGAGCAACGACTGAAAATCTTTTAAATTTAGTGGACCAAGAAGAACCTTCTGCAGCCCCAGAACCTATTCAGCCCATTTCAATGATACCAGGCTCTGGGGGAGAAAAGGGAAGCCATAAATACCACAGGAGTTCTAGTTCTGGATCAGATGACTATGCCTATACGCAAGGTACTTTTATCCCTTTTATGAAAATTAATCTTTATGGTTGGGGTGGGAACTCCTATTCAAAATGGGGGAATTAATATTACCTACTTAGTTTTAATTAAATGTTTAGTAGTTATTTATTAAATAGTGGGCAGTAGCATTGCTGTTAAGAATAGGGTTAGTGCTTGAGAGCCATCTACAGACTTAATTTTAAAATATGAAAATGTAGAGTAGTGACCTAATAAGGGTTTTAGGAAGAACAGTCATTGTGAGAAAAATATAGAATTTTTAAATGAATTGATACTGTTAAAAATACAAACTACAGAGTGGGGAAAAAGATTTATAGAGGCTAAAGTTCATCAAGGTGAAAGAATTTGAATCTTTTCTAAAAGAGGATGGCTTGAAGGATGCAATGATATTTATAAGAAGTTGGATTGATAATGAAGAACAGTGTTAGATTAAAAATGGACCTAAGTATATATGCATGGCCCTTCAACACAGACAATGGGGCAGTGAGGTCTTGGGGCAGGGGGCAGGGGCGGTCTGGAGGGGGTCAGTGAGGGGAAAAAAGGAGACATATGTAATACCTTCAACAGTAAAGAATTATTTCTTAAAAATGGACCTAAGTATATAGAATAGAGTTTTTAAAAGGTCTATTCAGATTGTTTTAAGACATCTGAGAATTTGATGTTCTTTTAGTATATAAGAAGGGAAGTAATATCAGTATGCTTGGTATTTAAAACAAGGAGAATCTTAGGGAAACTATGGATAACAGAACAAGAGGGACATACAGATAATGTCATTTTGGCAGCAGTTACAAGCTCAATTAAAGCAGATATGAGCGTAGGCTAGCATTAGAAAGACATGAAAATTAACGCCAACTCAAGTTAGATGACAGGGTTCCTTACAGGTATTCTGTACATTAGCTATGCATATAGAAATTTCCTGCTCACTTGTTCAATGTTATTCTCTGTAATTACTTTATCTGTAATGCTATAGCCTTGCTGTTGCATCAGCGAGCAAGGATGGAGAGGTTAGCAAAGCAATTGAAACTTGAGAAAGAGGAGTTAGAACGATTGAAGGCTGAAGTTAACGGTATGGAGCATGACCTAATGCAGAGACGGCTCAGAAGGGTCAGCTGCACCACTCCGATTCCAACGTAAGTTGGGATGTGTTGGATAGGAAGGTGGGGGTGTTCTATTTCTGACAGAGTTTTTTGTTTTTAAACAGTGGATGAAGAACTTTCGCCTTCAATAATTCTCATCAAAATAATTTGATGCTTTATTTTTTTCATATGTATGAATTCCATAGGCTCATTAGTATTTTCAAATACTGACGATTATAATCAAGCTATAGATCTCATTTACAAAAGTTGCATTGTGTCAAAATAGAAAGAAGAGTGCACCCTGAGCAAATATTTTATAAATTGTTCTCATGTATTCTTCTAAGCATATATATTTTTCCAAGCATTAAAAAATTATTTTTCTAAGTATGTTAATTCAAATGAGCTACAGTGAGATCAGTATGAATTTTGGGAGTGTTGACTATGGACTTTATTAAGGTAGAGCAATTTTGTTACGTGTAAATAATTGTAGAAACTAAGATAACAGTATTGACAACAGTCCTAACAGGAACTACTCTAATAAAAAGATTTGGATAATATATTTTTAACATGTTGGTTAATCTATAATAATAAAAGCGTAATATGCTAATTAGACCGAACAGCCAAACGACCTTCCGGACGTCCTTCTGGACAACCTTCCAGACGAAACCAGGGCTGTGAGGGCCATGGCTGGGAGGGCCGAGCCCCTTGCACAAATTTTGTGCATCGGGCCTCTAGTATTTAATAAAGATCATAAACAATTGTGAAAAATTTGAAACAAGTCTCTAAAATCTTGGGACATCACAGATTTTATCTGATCCAACCACCTATCATTTTTATCTTTTAATGTTCAGTCAATGACCATATTTCATTGTTTGTGATTATGGTCCAATGTTAGGTGCTTACTTCATACCTGCTAGTGGGAGGAATAGATCCATCAACCTATAAGAGAACTCATATGTTAACTAGTTTCTGTATATACTCAGTGTACTTCTCTGCTCTATCACATTCCTCCTGCTGGAATGCCATTCTAAAGCTCTGCATGTACAAATCCTGTCTGTTTTTCAATCTCTACATTTTTCACAGAACCATTCCTCATGTTCTTACTCTCTCTAAACTAAGGGTAATCTCTCTCAAAGTTTATAAGTTTAGAGAAGTGGGCATATATGTCAGGCCTCTTACAAACAGATTGAAGGAAAAAAGGGTAAGGAACCACTGCCCTAAACAGTGTAATAATTGCTGTGTAAGCAGAGAGGAAAGGGGAAGCCATTTTAGAAGGGAAAAGAACGTGAGGCAATGGAGATTTGAAATCAAGACAGAGACTTTCAGGAGGCAGCAATTACAGTTCTTTCACTTAAGCTGAGATTTTCTGATGTTCATGTTCATAAGTGGAATGGGGCTTAGATCTTGAACACTAGGTTGAAGTGTTTGACCTTTATTCTGCTGGTCATGTGGAACCAGTGGATGTTTTGAGAAACAGGCATATTTTTTGTTTGTTTGTTTTTAATATATTTTATTGATTTTTTTTTACAGAGAGCAAGGGAGAGGGTAGAGAGTTAGAAACATCAATGAGAGAGAAACATCGATCAGCTGCCTCCTGCACACCTCCTACTGGGGATGTGCCTGCAACCAAGGTACATGCCCTTGACCAGAATCGAACCTGGGACCCTTTAGTCCACAGGCCAACGCTCTATCCACTGAGCCAAACCTGTTAGGGCTTTTGTTTGTTTTTATTTCCTTACCCAATGACATGCTTAGGAGAGAGGAAAAGGGAGAGAGAGATAAAAATCTATTGGCTGCCTTGCATACATGCCCTGCCCAGGGATCGAACCTACAACCCAGGTATGTGTGCTGACCCAGAATCGAACTGGCAAACTTTCAGTGCACAGGATGATGCTCAACCAACTGAGCCACACCAGCCAGGGCTGAGAAACAGGCATCTATATATATAAAAGCCTAAGTGAGCGTCTGACCGTACAACTGGTAGCTATGACACACAGTGACCACCAGGGGGCAGATACTCCGACCGGTAGCTATGACATGCACTGACCACCAGGGGGAAGATGCTCAACGCAGGAGCTGCAGTGATTTGGCAGCTGCAGTTCTTGGGTGACACACCCAGAACCAGAGAGTAGGGAGCCCGATTCTGGGGTGTGTCACCTGAGAACCACCCTCGCAATCCGGGACCCCTCGGGGGATGTCAGAGAGTGGGTTTCCGTAAGATCCCCACAGGCCAGGCCAAGGGACCCCACCGGTGCACGAATCAGTGCACCAGGCCTCTAGTATTTAATAATTTAGTGAAATTTTTTTTCTAATATTGAAAACTCTTGGAATATTACAAAACTATAACTGAAAGGTGATATTTCTGCCTCATTTTTTCTCACTTGAAATCTTAATTGAGTCCTCTGATGAGGGGAGATACTGAAGAATGTAACTCATACGGGAAACCACCTGTGGTTGTTGGGCACTTGGGAGTCCTTTAGGTACTTGTAGGGCATAAACAAACTTTCTTAGCAAAGAAGTTATTTTCTCTAACAAAACCATATAAGATTTGATTGTCAACCACTTGCTATGTGATAGCCCCTACTAAATAAAGCCCTATTGGGTTTTTTTGTTGTTGGAAGTAGAGAACTGTCTAATGTAGCATAGGTTATTTAGTGTTTCAAAAAAACCCAAATTTTAGATGAGAGCTTTTTTAAAAAATATATTTCTTTATTGATTTCAGAGAGGAAGGGAGGAGAGATAGAAACATCAATGATGAGAGAGAATCACTGATCAGCTGCCTCCCGCACGCCCCCCACTGGGGATCGAGTCTGCAACCCAGGTATGTGCCCTTGGCCAGATCAAACCTGGGACCTTTCAGTCCGCAGGCTGATGCTGTATCCATTGAGCCAAGCCGGCTAGAGCTAGATGAGAGCTTTTATTGATGACACTTCTTTAGAAAAAAGAGGAAGTTGGTAAAACTGCTGTCCTGGGCTGTAATTTATTTTTAACTTTTTATTATAGAGAATTTCAAAGATAAATAAAACAGTGAACTCCCATGTAGCCCCCATGTAGCCATCACCAAACTTCAGAAATTGATAGCTCATGTGGGCAATAATATTTGAGAAGTGAGAAATTTGAGTGTGTGATTCCCCTGTGTTTCTGCTGCCAGGCCTACAGTAAAATGAAGACTATTAGGAGTGAATGGCTGAGGGACAATTATGGATAAAACAGTGAGCTCTCAATTCAGGTGTGAACTTGAAACCTACTTCCGCTGCTCTCATGTCACGCATATATCCTTGGATTAGTAACCTTCTCTATGCTTGTTTTCTTTTTTTTCAAAACATATTTTTATTGATTTCAGAGAGGAAGGGTGAGGGAGAGAGAAACATCAATGATGAGAATCATTGATCGGCTGCCTCCTGCATGCCCCCTACTGGGGATCCAGCCCACAACCCAGGCATGTGCCCTTGACTGGAATCAAACCTGAGACCCTTCAGTCTGCAGGCCGACGCTCTAGCCGCTGAGGCAAACCAGCTAGGGCAATGCTTGTTTTCTTACTATAATATATGTCATTACCCATTTGATGGGATTTTTTGTTAGGATTAAATAACACATTAAACAATTTATATAATGTTCAACAAATAGTATAAAATAAATGTTGGTTGCAAGATACTGGAAAATATGCTTGAGATACACAAATCTGAAGTGTTTTGTAAAAATGATTTCCTTTTTAACTTTAGGAACATGCATAACACAAGGGCATATTATATGTAGGAAATTAATCTGAAAACAAAGGATTTTGTCAGAATCTCCTTTTTGTTCATACAGGCTCATTTGAGGCACATGACATAGTTGAAAGAGTGCCCACATAGGCTCTGGAGCCAAAACAGCTCTGGCACTCACAGCTTATATCTAATTTCTCTGCAGTTGATTTTCCATAGCTAGAAAAGGGAATTATAACAAGTACATTTTAATAAAAAGACAACTGTATATAAAATGGCTGGCATGTTGTAGATGCTCAGTAAACAGCTATCCTTACTTATCATTGTCCCACTCACATAGGATTATGTAATAGAGAATTGACTTTTTTGCTATGGAGTTTGTATTGCTACCTTCATGTTTTCAAACAAAATTTTTTTTAATCAAGCGGTATATAAAAAATTTGTTAAAAGTGTGACTAATGAGACTGGAATGCACATTCCTGACCAACTCTGTGTACAGTTGCAGAAACTTAGAGGAACTAAGGAGGAGGGTAAAAGTACAAGATGCATGCCCACCATCATTTTTCTCAATCTACTATTTGCAAAGCATTGTATTAAATGCTGTGAGAGATGCCATCTCTTAAAGAGATCTGTATGTAAAAAGATATACATATATCTGTCTGTGAATCTGTGTGTGTGTGTGTGTGTGTGTGTGTGTGTGTGTGTGTGTGTAAGAGAAAAGATAGGCAGTAAATCAGAAGCGCTTGCCAACTGAATAGTAATATTAAATGCTTCCGAGTTCAGAGATAGAAATGTTAGTTTTTTGCTGGTAATGTTCAAAGATGAGACAATTTCATGGAGAAGGGGAAAATCTAAGTTATATCTTGACAGATAAGTAAGATTTTAATAGGCAGAGAGCTGTTAATTACCCGCTCCCCCAAGTTTTTCTCCCATTCATCTTGTTCTGACTAACTGGGTTTTTGAACTAACCCACAGCTTTGAGTTTCAGATGCATAATTGGGGCCAAACCACCAAAGACCATCAGTGGTCTTCCACATTGGTCTCTGTGAGACATCTTCCTAAAGTGCTGAAACAGTAGGCTCAAGGTATTTCTGTCACCTTTTGAAAAAAGTGTAGATATAAACATCCTGGTAGTTTACAAACAACTGTAAATTATGCACAGCCAATCTCGAAGCCCCTTCGCCATGAAAAACTGTACTTTTTGACAAATGTAGTGACGTGCAAAAATGGCTTTTCCCCCTCAGTGAGAAGCTTTGGAAAAGTACATAGGAATCTTACAGTTAAACAGTTAGTTTAGTGAGTTCCAGTGGTACTGCTGTCTTTGGAAATGAGCCTGTTGATAAGAGCTTTTGTTGTTGTTATAAGCAAATGTGCAGTAGTCTCTTGACTATAAAGTGTATTATAATATTTGCATACTTAGTTACAGAGCTTGACTATTCAGGGACACCTTGGCTAAAACATTCCCTCCCACCCCAATATATAGGTAAGATCAGCTCCTTCAGGTACTTGACTTTGCTGATATGATTCTACAAAGAAAATAGGTTCTTTCACATATTCCTAGGAAGACAGCATCACTCTTTGAAATCCTTGAACAAGTGCTTTATCTTTAATACAAATGCTCAGGTATGTTTTAAACTCTTAATATTGCCTGGTTGATAGACAAGTTATAAACACTTTACATGCTAATGTCACATTGTTTACCCATAGGAATGAGAAAAGAAAAGCAATCCCTAATAGATGTTTCTAAATGACTTTTATGTTCCCCTGGCATTCTAAGGGATTGTAGCTCTTATTTTAAACGTTTGATACCTGCTAATTTAGAGAGCATTCCCAGTTAGTCTAGTAATACCTCCTAAGCATAAGATCTTGTGAATGAAAATAACCTTTTTTGCTCATTTTTCTTCACTCTTATAATCTATTTAGTTTTTAGCAAAATATATATTTTTAACAGAGTGGGATTTTATTTTGTCTTCCTATCATAGCAGATTTTTATCTTTTACTTTACAGAATCACCTTAGAAACTGAGTTATATCTAGGCTGTGCTGAAAGCTTCAGAACCCATGCCGCTGGAGTCTAAACCCTAACTTTTTTACTGTACATATATGTAAAATAGTACAAGAATTCAGAATGTCAGAGGAAATGAAGGCTTCCAAAAAGCTTTAACTGAAGAATAGAGCTCTCTTCACATTTCAGTGTCTTATGTATGTCCTGAAAGGCCTAAGGAGTAGGTTGAGCTAGAAAGGTCAAAGCAGAAGGAAACAAAGTTGGAGGAAGAACGGAATCCATTTGTTCCTGAAAGTTTCACATACTAGATTAATTGCTTCTACATAAGTTTATATAGAAGACTTTTATATAAGTGCTATCTCTTTTATAACCTTGGGAAAATTATATAACCCCTGTGCCTCCGCTATCCTCATGTATAAATTGGGTGTGATATTAGTACTTACTTTGAAAGATTGTTTTGAAGAAAAATGAGAGAATTCTGGTGAACACAGTACCTGGCACTCAGTGTTAATTAAAATTAGTACTGTTGTAATGTGTTTTTAATATGTTTTTATTAATTTCAGAGAGAGTAAGGGGGAGAGAGAGATGGAAACATCAATGATGAGAGAGAATCATTGATTGGCTGCCTCCTGTACGCCCCCTATTGGGGATTGAGCCCACAACCCGGGCATGTACCCTGACTGGGAATCGAACCCTGACCTCCTGGTCCATGGGTCAACACACAACCACCAAGCCATACTGGCTGAGCAGTACTGTTGTAATTTTAACTATCCTGGACAAAATTAAAATCATGGATGTGGCTTGTTTAAAAGGTTCCTACTTACTACAGTTTCCCTTACTATGAAAACATAGAAATAAAATATTCTCAGTGCTCTCTGATTAAAATGGTAGTATTTTGTATGATAGACCAGTCTAGTATTATAGCCTGCCACATTATATGCAGATTTTTTATATGTGGCCATACTAATGTCCCCATTTTACCTGACCATTCCTTGAAAACTATAAGACTTCTTAATCATGCCCTCTTATGGATTAAGGCCATCTTCTTGGTAATAACCAATCAGAACAATTAATATGAATAGCAGTTCTTAAATGTTGGGCTTGATAATGACTTTCCCACAATTGCTATTTTGGGTCCTTTCTTACTAGCCTGAGGAAATGACAAGATTGAGAAGCATGAACAGACAACTCCAGATAAATGTTGACTGTACACTGAAAGAAGTTGACCTCCTTCAATCTAGAGGTATAGACTTGATTATTTGGTAAACCATAAGTAATAGTGTGGTGTTTTAAGCTGCTTAAATAGCAATCATTTTGGTTTTATAGACTTAAGAAATAGTTTTTGTCCATTATAAGATTACAGTCCTGGTAAAGAGATCACTCCAGCCATGGTCATAGATCGGATTGGGGGCATCAAAAAATAGTTTTACTTTGGTAATTTCATCATTAAGACCGTTCTGTTTTAACTCTGTATTTATCTTTTAGTCATTTACTGTAAATATTTTATAAGTTGATTTTTTATGTTTTAATTCTAAAACTTAGTAGGTTCCTATTATGTGAATCATCTAAATATTTGTAAAAATAGGGACCCCAAATCAGAATATCAGATTTCTCAGTTTTAAAGTAATTTCCATTTGTCAATTTTAATGTTATCTGTTACATTAAAACATCCAGCTATATCTTAGAGTTTGGGGGTCTTTGTTTGTTTGTTGTGGTGGGGTTTGTTTGTTTTTTTGTTGGGTTTTTATTGCTTTCTTATAGAAGTGTACTACAGTAGAAGCTCTCTTAACCGACTTTTGTTTACCTAGCTCACCAAGGTCAAAATGTTCTTACTGTTGCTCCCATCAGTGGAATTGTCTGCTTACCAAGTCACTTGTGCCAGTTCCTAAACCTTTTATGCCAGTTACTAAACTGGCATGAAGGCAGGAGAAGCTGCTCTTCCTATAAAAATTAAAGGCAAATACCTTTTTTGTTGTTGTTGTTAATCCTCACCCGAGGATATTTTTCCCATTAATTTTTTTTTAGAGAGAGAATAGAAGGGAGGGGGAGAGAGAGAGAAACGTCAATGTGAGAGAGACACATCAACTGGTTGCCTCTCACACACACCCCCACCCAGGGCCAGGTACGTGCCCTTGACCAGAATCAAACCCGCAACCCTTCAGTCTACAGGCCAACACTCTAACCACTGAGCGGAAACAAGCTAGGGTGGTAAATACCTTTTAAAGACTCAAAGGCAAATCACATAGGGACTGTGAATTAGGGGTGAAAGTAACTGTAAAGGGTTAAGGGGCAAGTTAAAAATCTAAGAGGATTCTGACTTCAAATTAAATGTTCTTACAGTATTTTTCTTGCTCTATTCTAAAGAAACAAAAACAAGAAATTATAGATCAGGGTTAGCAAATTGCCTGCTGCCCATCTTTTTATTTATTTATTTTTATTATTATTATTTTTAATCCTCACATGAGGATATTTTTCCATTGATTTTAAGAGAGAGCGAAAGAGAAAGGGAAAGACAGAGAGAAATATTGATGTGAGAGAAATCAGTCAGGGCCTGATGCCTGTCTTTTTAAATAAAGTTTTAATGGAACATAGCCATGCCCATTTATATATTGCCTTGGATTGCTTTTGTGTGTTTTTTAATATTTTTTTATTGATTTCAGAGAGGAAGAGAGAAGGAGAGAGATAGGAACATCAATTATGAGAGAAAATCATTGATTGGCTGCCTCTTGCATGCCCCACACTGGGAATCAAGCCAGCAACCCAGGCATGTGCCCTGACCAGGAATTGAACCGTGACCCCTAGTTCATAGGTCGATGGTCAACCCCTGAGCCACGCCAAGCTGCTTTTGTGCTTTAATGCTACAATTGAGGGCTTGCAACAGAGACCTGTAGTATTACAGGTCCACAATATCTAAAGTATTTATCATCTCCCTTTACAGAAAAAGTTTGCCCACCATACTTTAGCTCATCACAGGTGTAGCTTATATAAGAAAGACAATATAGAACCTTCAGTCAACAGACAGGTAAAGAAAAGGTCTTGGTCTGTCATTAAAATATTGCCATATTTATATGTTTTGTTACATTAAAGTTGATGTGTAATTTTTCTTAACAATTCGTGTTTTAATCAGCCCCCTTACTGTTCTTAATTATGGCAGCTAAAAGAGTTTCTACTGTATTTTAAGAGATATACATAAAAGTACTGCATTGCCATTTTTAGACAAGCCTAAGCAGTAGAAGCAGGGGAACCTAAAAAGATATGGAACTTATCTGAATAGAAGTAAATTTGAATACGAAAGTTGAACAATTTATGTAGTTGCCCTTAAAGTTATTTTCAGAAACATAGTTACTCTACAGCCTACTATCTTTCAGCAATGAAAGAATTACTGTGTATAATGTGGGGGGCTATACAAACTATTGCTACTATATTAGAAGACAACATTGATTTTTTTTTTTTGCTTGTGTGTTCTTTGAAGCAAAACAAACACTTAAACATTTGGTTAGGATATTTATAGTAAGCCTAATGGGATCTAGAAATTAGAACATCAGCTGTAACTTAAGTAATTGAAGAAATACATATGCAGCATCTTAAAGCATAAAAAAATCCAATTAACATATCAAATAGCATTGTGGCTTTCATGGGCCATCATATGAATTATTTTCAGAAAATATCTTAAAATAGCATAGCCAAATGGATAAAAGCATTTGTAATAGGATCTGCAAGGGAAACCATTAAGATTTTATAAGTGAAGAGCTGTGTTTTGGTCTCCATTGAGCAACAAAGAGCTCTTTTTGGTGCTTAAGCATTTCTAAATCTCTATTCTTCATGCTCTGGAAACATTTTATATGAATTCCTTTTATATTAATTTCTAATCTAAACTTTTTAGAATATATTTTTCTGTAAAAAATATATTTTTATTGATTTCAGAAAGGAAGGGAGAGATAGAAACATCAATGATGAGAGAGAAGCATCAATCATCGGCTGCCTCCTGCATGCCCCACACGGGATCAAGCCCGCAACCAGGGCCATGTGCCTGGCCAGGAATCGAATGACCTGGTTCATAGGTCCAAGTTCAACCACTGAGCCAAGCTGGCCATGCTGCTACCCTATTTTTGAGGTCACTTATCCTTTCTTCTATCTTAATCTAGTTGATGTTGAACATCTCTAGTGTTTTAGTGTACTTTATATATATATATATATATATTTTATTTGAGAGGAAGGGAGAGAGATAGAAACGTCAATGAGAGTCATTGATTGGCTGCCTCCTGCACACTTCCTACTGGGGATCGAACCGGCAACCCGGGCATGTGCTCTGACCGGGAATAAAACTGACCTCCTGGTTCATAGGTTGATGCTCAACCACTGAGCCATGCTGGCTGGGCTTTAATCTAAATTTTTAAATGAGAGAAGGAATCTAGACATTTGGAAGAATATTTAGATTAGATGTAAATCAGTGCATGATTTTTTAAAAATTGACTTTTAGAAGGAGAGAAACATCAATATGAGAGAGAAAATATCAGTTTGAGAGAGAAACATCAATCGGCTGCCTCCTACACACCCCCTACCAGGGATCGGTGATTGAGCCAAGCCCACAACCCAGGCATGTGCCCTGACCCGGAATTGAACCAGCAACCCTTCAGTGGACGGGATAATGCCCAACCAACTGAGCCACACTGTCCAGGGCAGTGCATGATGTGATGAAAAGCAGCTTTATTGTTGGTTTTGGTGAGGAAAACCATTTGGACTTCATCGGTGCCATATAGGATCCTCTGGAAATAAGCATGTGTACAGTTGTAATGCTTAATTGGAATTGTGAAGAATAAGCAGATTGCAGTGATAGGTTCACAGAATTGAAGGTAGGACCAAAAGCTGGCCCTGGATCAAAACTGACCTTGGAGGAGTCCTGGCAGGAGATGGGGCTGAAATAGACACTAGATCAAGGAATGAATGAACATTTTAAGAGAGATGAAAATTGTGTGGCAAGACAAAATTCTTAGGGATTGTTCTGTTATTCTGAAATTGGCAAATTTATAGGTGACAAGATTCTCTTTTTCTTTTTCTTTTTTTTGAAGATAGGAATCCATGAGCTGCTGATCACATAAAACTTGAAAAATCTTTGTAAATTTATATATTTAGGTTCATTGACAGTTGAGTTTATAATAGATAAAATTTTAGGGTAAATTATGAAAGATATGGTGAGCTTTCGCTATTTAAATCTTCTTTCTTATGGTTTGTTCATTAAAATCAAAACATCAAAACAAACAGAAAGAAAAAACAGTTCAGCCAGCCTTTCATTTCTCTCCTTCATTTACCCCCCTAACTGTGCCACATGCTTAACACTGCCTAAAAAGACTAGCTTTACAGTTAGAAAAATATTCCTTTAGGTAAGCACTGCAGATAGACACTGGTATGCCAGTTTGCTTGTGTCTTTTCTCAGAATGATAAAACAATTTCAATGGAAAGAGAGTAGGGTAATATGAGTTTTGAAACCCTGGAAAACAATTTCCTTTCTTACATGTTTTATTTTCATATTTTCCTTAACAAAAAGTTCAAATAATAGGATAAAGAACTCTGAATACCTGGTGATTTTATTTTTTTTTAGGAAACTTTGATCCAAAAGCCATGAATAATTTTTATGACCACATACAACCTGGCCCAGTGGTACCACCCAAGCCATCTAAAAAAGGTGAGTAGGGAAATGTAAAAAACATCACACAAATAAATATGAAAATTCTTTGGGAGTTCACATTTATATCTGAAGAAATTTCCACTAGAGATACTCATTAATTTGTTCAGCAAAAAAACTTACCATATTGATGTTACTATGGCAATAGTAAAATGTCCCCTAAAGTTTAAAATTAATTAACTCCTGGAATTACTGTCAAAAGTAATTAAATGGGATATATATAATTTACTTTTTAAAATTGAAACTGTATTATATAGTTAAAATTTACTGTGAAAACTATAATCCTAAAAGATAATTCTTACAAAATAATGAGAATTTTAAAGGTCATGTGTTAGAATGGAAAGTTTGATCTGCAGTTGATCTAAGGTTATTTCACAGGGGAGCATAACAGTTAGATCCTACATAAATCCTAGATTTAGAGAAATCACTTTTGAATAATTGTTCATTCCCATATACTATCAAAGGTATCAAATCTCTTATTTTTGTGTACCAAATGTTTACTTGACATTCCAGTTATCTTAAAAATGGATTTGAATTAAATTTAAATGTCATTAAATTTAAACCCTTTCTGCCCAATTCTTACTAATAACCCATGTTATTTTATAAATATAATTCTTAAGACTGAGATAAAGTATGCATTTGAGAGCATAATCCTTAAGGCTTTAAGCAACTTAAAAAGATTGCTCATGAAGACATAAACATGTAATAGTGGTGAATGTCTTACTTAAAAAAAATTACCCGAGTATAACATTTTAAAATATCATCAGAATTAATATTTAAAAAGTTACCTAAGAGTATAATATTTTAAAATATCATCAGAATTATTATTAATCAGGGAATATATAAATTCTCCCTAAATAATTTTACCTGAGCTAAATTACTTAAATTTTGGTTAAACAACTTTCTGTGTGTTTTAAGTATTTCATTTATAGGTTGCAACACAATATCTGTTCTTTTTATTGTTTAACTAGAGGCCCGGTGCACAAAAATTTGTGCACTCGGAGGGGGGGGGTCCCTCAGCCTGGCCCATGCCCTCTCGCAGTCTGGGACCCCACGGGGGATGTCCACCTGCTGGCTTAGGACTGCTCCCTGGGGGATTGGGCCTAAGCTGGCAGTCAGGCATTCCTCTGGCAGCCCGGGAGCCCTCGGGGGATGTCCACTTGCCAGCGGGGAGCAGGCCTAAGCTGCAGTCGGGCATCCTTAGCGCTGCTGAGGAGGTGGGAGAGGCTCCCACCACCACTGCTGTGTACTGGCAGCAGTCAGCCTGGCTTGTGGCTGAGCAGAGCTCCCCCTGTGGGAGTGCACTGACCACCAGGGGGCAGCTCCTGAATTGAGTGTCTGCCCCCTGGTGGTCAGTGTGTGTCATAGTGACCAGTCATTCCCCGTCGTTCTGCTGTTAGGGTCAGTTTGCATATTACCCTTTTATTATATAGGATAGAGGCCTGGTGCATGGGTGGGGGCTGGCTGGTTTGCCCTGAAGGTGTCCCGGATCAGGGTGGGGGTCCCGCTGGGGTGCCTGGCCAGCCTGGGTGAGGGGCTGAGGGCCGTTTTCAGGCTGGCCACACCCCCTTCAGGGTGGGGGTCCTTGCTGGAGTGCCTGGCCAGCCTGGGTGAGGGGCTAAGGGCTGTTTACAGGCTGGCCACAGCCCCTTGAGGGAGAGTGGTCCTGCTGGGGTGCCTGGGTGAGGGGCTGATGGCTGTTTGCAGGCTGGCCATAGCCCCTTCAGGGTTGGAGTCCCTGCTGGGGTGCCTGGCCAGCCTAGGTGAAGGGCTGAGGGCTGTTTTCAGACTGGCCACACCCCCTTCAGGGTGGGGGGTCCTGCTGGGGTGCCTGGCCAGTCTGGGTGAGGGGATAATGGCTGTTTGCAGGCTGGCCAACCCCCCCAGCGGGGACCCTCACCCCATGAGGGTGTTGCCAGCCTGGGTGAGTGGCTGATGGCTGTTTGCAGGCTGGCCAAGCCCCCAGCGGGGACCCTCACCCCATGAGGGTGTGGCCATCCTGGGTGAGGGGCTGATAGCTATTTGCAGGCTGGCCACAGCCCCCAGCCACCCAAGCTCCCAGTGGAGGCTGGCTAGAAGCAGGTATCTGGGATTTATTTATCTTCTATAATTGAAACTTTGTTGCCTTGAGTGGAGGCCACAGCAGGCCAGGGCAGGTGGGAACCTTGGTTTCCTCCATCACTGGGGTAACCAAGCCTCATGCTTGCTCCAACTCCGTGGCTGCCAGTTACCATCTTGGTTGGGTTAATTTGCATATAGTCACTCTGATTGGCTGGTGGGCATGGCTTGGGGCATAGCAGAGGTGTGGTCAATTTGCATGTTTGTCTTTTATTAGATTAGATACTGCCATTGCTGTTTCATCTCATCTGCATTTTAAATAGCATACTAATTTCCAAAAATGGCACAAAGAAGAATCTTAGTGGATGACTGCCCAGTACCAGATATGGCACTGTGGGAACATTATATACAGCTTCAAGTTGAAAGTCACTGGGTTGTATATCATTGATCATTTTAACCATTTGCTATAATGATATGTTATTTATCCAAATGGTTAAATAACACTTGAGTTTGTGCTAATGTCTATGAAGGAAGCATTACTTAATGGTAATACAACAGATAAACTTTAATTGATTCAAGGGTTGTCATGGAGGAATCCCTTATTTAAGGGAGTACATTAAAAAGTTGTTACCTGAGCCTTGGCTGTTGTGGCTCAGTTGGTTGGGCATTGTCCTGTGCCCCAAAAGGTTGCTGGTTCAGCCAAGGCAGTGTTGCTCAGTGGTTGAACATCAATCTATGAACCAGAAGGTCACAGTTCAATTCCCGGCCAGGGTGCATGCCCGGGTTGGGGGTTTGATCCCCAGTGCGGGGTGTGCAAGCGTCAGCTGATCAATGATTCTCTCTCATCATTGATGTTTCTATATTTCTCTCCATCTCCCTTCCTTTCTGAAATCAATAAAAAAAATTTTTTTTTAAAGATTGCCGGTTTAATTCCTGGTCAGGGCACATGCCCAGGTTGTAGGATTCGATCCCTGGTAGGGGATGTACAGGAGGTAGCCAATCAACTCTCACATAGATGTTTCCCCCTCTCCCTCTCCCTTCCTCTCTCAAAAATATAAATTAAAAAACCTTTAAAGAAAAGTTGTTACCTGGCAACAGAGGACCAAATTGGTAAGAAATGGACAATATATCCACCTTGAGCCACCTCATTAGCATAAACTCTCAGGTATGGTCTGAAGGTTTCACCATAAATAGCAAAGACACTTCTATCACTTGGGAAACTTCAAGATTTTAGAGGTTATATCCCAGGAGCTGGGGCTAAAGCTAGACTTCTCTTTGGGCAAGGTCGAATTCTTTACTACACAACACTTAAAGCAGTGCTTAGAAGGACATTTATAGCTTTAAATGCTAGTATAAAACAAGAAGATCTAAAATCAGTGACCTAATATCCCACCTTAAAAGAAGGAAAAAAAGAATAGTCAATGAGATAGAAAACAGATAAAGCCAAAAGTTTGATCTCTCAAAGATAAAAATCAATAAGCTCTAAAGTCAACGTATTAAAAAAGAGAACACAAATAAGGGAATGTGATGACCATTTTTATGCCAATGAACGCAACACCTTAGATGGAATTGACACATTCCTTGGAAAATATAACCTACAAAACTGAAAACAAGATGAAATAGGAAATATTAATAGCTTTACATCTATGAGAAATTAAATCTATTATCAAAAAATTTCCCACAAAGAAAAATCCAGACTATCAAACATCGAAGGAAGAGATAATACCAGTCTTACACAAACTCTTTGAGAAAATAGAGGGAAAAGGAAACTTCCCTCTTTTTGAAATGGAGCCAGCAGAACCCTGATGCCAAAACCCAGTAAAGACATTACCTACCCACTACCCCCTAAAGAAAACAAAATTATAAATCAATACCACTCATGGACATAAAAGCAAAAATCCTTCATAACATATTTACAATTTATAAAAAAGATAATGCATCATGACCTCATTGGGTTTAGCTCAGAAATACAATATTAAAGTAAAGGAGAAAGAAAATATCCACAATACATATATGTGATAAAGAATTGGTATCAAGAGTATAAAAAAGAAGTAAAACATTTGAGCAGACACTTCACAAAGGAATCTTCTATATATATAAATTCCTAAGCGACTGATAGACCAGTCGCAATGACATGCACTGACCACCAGGGGGCAAATGCCCCGACCGCTAGGTTAGCTTGCTGCTGGGGTCCGGCAGATCGGGATTGAGCGAGACGGGCTGGACACACCCTGGAGCCCTCCCATGGTTCCTCCCTGGCTGGCCAACCTCCCACGTCCCTCCTTCATGCACCAGTGGGGTCCCTTGGCCTAGCCTGCGCCTCTCACCATCCAGGACCCCTCGGGGGATGTTGGAGAGCCAGTTGCGGCCCTGATCGCAGGCCAGGACTAGGGACTGTACCCATGCACGAATTTCGTGCTCTGGGCCTCTAATATATATATACATATATATGTATATATATATGCACATATACATACATATATATATATATGTATGTATATGTACATATATATACATATATATGTATATCCAATAAGCGCATGAAAATGCTCAACCTGCCGAACCGGTTTGGCTCAGTGGATAGAGCGTCGGCCTGCAGACTCAAGGGTCCCGGGTTCGATTCCGGTCAAGGGCATGTACCTTGGTTGTGGGCACATCCCCACTGGGGGGCGTGCAGGAGGCAGCTGATCGATGTTTCTCTCTCATCGATGTTTCTAGCTCTCTATCCCTCTCCCTTCCTCTCTGTAAAAAATATATCCAATAAGCGCATGAAAATGCTCAACCTGAGTAGACATTAGGGAGACACAAATTAAAATCCTGAGATACCACCTTACACCCACCAGAATGGCTAAAATCCCAAATTTTGGAAAACAGGCTATTTCTTGTAAAACCATTCACCTGCCCTATAGCCCATCAATAATTCTATGTCTAAAGATTTATCCAAGAGAATCTAAAATGTGTGTCTACAAATGACTTGTTTTTTAGACGATTCATACCATTTTTTTCCTTTTTGGTGCCGTGACTTGGATTTGAAGATTCATACCATTTTTATTCACAATAACCCAAAACTATAAATAGCCCAAGTATCCATCAAAATGTGAATGGATAAACACTGATATAATCATGCCATGGAATAATACTAAGCAAAAAAAAAAAACTGAATTACTGATACATAAATCTCAACAATATAATGCTGAATGAAAGAAATCAAATACAAAAGAATATATAGTATATAATTCTGTTTATATGAAATTCAGGATAGAAAAAGCTGAATTTAGGATATATATATATCAGAACTGTGGTTATCTCTGGAAATTGGGTTTGAGGAATAACTGAGAAAAGATATGGGTAGATTTTTCTGAACTCATGGTAGTGTTCTAAATCTTGGTGGGAATTTGGATTATTCAGGTGCATTTGTTAAAATTCATCAAATGGTACACTTAAGATTTCTGTATTTCACTGTACACATTTTACCTCAAAAATTCACAAAGAAATAAAAGGAAAATTTCTTAGAGGTAAGGAGCTGATATACTCAGAGTTTTCTACCAGTGGTGACAGAATTTTTGCAGATGTCATTTGGTCTCTGTCTTTGAGACCAACACCATGTATTTGAGGTGGGAGGTTCCTGTTTGGTATACTTTTCAGCTGGGAATTGTGCAAGGATTGCATTAATATTCCATTAATATCAAGCTTCATCTAGCTCCCTACAAGTACCTTCACACTAAAAAGGCTCTTTTCCATGGTACTTTTAATTCTAACAAAATTTGCTACAACTGATACTGGATAGTCCCTTAGAGTTGGTTGTAATGGGATTACAATTATAGTCATTTTCTTAAATACATAGATGGATTATGTAGATAGCTGCTTGATGCTACAAAGGTAAGACGTAACTCCTATCCCAAGTGGCTTGTACTCTACATATACAGTTTTAATAAAAAGTAGACTAGAAAGCCCTCTAAAGTAACATCTTTACTGTAAATGGATCTCTACTTTAGAAATCTAATTGAGCTTTAATTATATAATAATTTATTTTATTGTTTAAAGTATTACATATGTCTCCTTTTCCTCCTGAGACTGTTGGTGAGAGTATAAAATGATGCTGTTATATATCCTGTAGTTTTTAAACTTTTCACCTTTTTCTATTAAAGTTTATAAATAGATCTTGATTAAATTCTATAATTCTTTAGGAAGCTTTTTCATAACAGATTTATAAAAGCTGTTTGGTTTTTCTCTATGAAGTCAAATTTGTTTTCTTTTAAACACATAGAGTCTCTCTTTTTTCTAAAACTAAATTTACCTAGTTTGATGAAAATTTTGTCTACCACTTAAATTTAAAAAGCAAGTAAAATGTAAATAACATGTAGAATTGTTTTATTAGTTAGAATAAATGTATTGGGGTTATTATAGTTACATATTAGAAATCCAAGTGGAATATAGACATTTATCTGATTATCTGAATAAGTGTGATAACTGAAGAGAGAGAATGAGAGATAGAAAGGGAGACAGAAATTTGCACTGGATTTTGTAGTTAAACAGTGCAGTGTGCATATGAGCTCCTCGGCTGATTCAGAAAGCCCCACTATCCCCACCCTGTCATTGGTAACTCACAGTGGTAAGAGCACTGACCTTGGTGTCCCATGATTTGAGTGCTGTTCCTGGTTGTCTTGGCCACCTGACCTTGTTCTGATCCAGTCTGTGCACCAGAGAGGTGATCAGTGCTGTAAAATACATAAGCCAAGTAAGGGTCAGTAAGAAGGAGGCATGTGATGCTATTAAGTACTTTACAAATCTAAGAAGTGGAACTTGACCTTAGTCTTTGGAGCCTGAGGAGAAATTTACTCTGCTTTTGTTCATGCTGATAATGGAGTGCTTTAGTGCCTAAGCAACACACTTAGGATTCTGGAGCACTGATTTCCAAGTGGATTGTACTAGGGCAGTGGTCTGCAAACTCATTAGTCAACAGAGCCAAATATCAACAGTACTTCTTCAAAATAGACTCGCCCAGGCCGAAAATCGACTTCTGCACATGGGCCATGAAGTTTCAATTGCACTGTACGTGCGCGCCTGCACGTGGTATTTTGTGGAAGAGCCACACTCAAGGAACCAAAGAGCCGCGTGTGGCTCGCGAGCCGCAGTTTGCCAACCACTGTACTAGGTGAACTGCCTATGGGCTAAGAATGGATTAGAAAATGCAAGATATTTTTTTGGTTCTTAGGGGCAAATAATATGAAGTTTGCCATTTCTTGTTTTTATTTATCATAAAGGACTACTTACTGATAAACTATAAATTGATAGATGCAGTATCTAATACAAAATTGGAATGCCTGACGTCCATTATTGGAAAGTATCTGCTGGACTTTTGAACATGTAGATATTTGGAATTTATGAAATGACTGAGGAGCATTTATTGTCAGTACATAGTATTATTCTGAATTGGTTCTGATTTTTCAAGCACTGCTATTTTTAATATATATTATATATATATTCTATTTAATATATATATGTATTTATTTCAAAGAGGAAGGGAGAGGGAGATAGAAACATCAATGATGAGAGAGAATCATTGAATGGCTGCCTCCTGCATGCCCCACACTGGGGATCCAGCCTGCAACCCAGGCATGTGCCCTGACCGGGAATCGAACCGTGACCTCCTGGTTCATAGGTCTGCACCCAACCACTGAGCCATGCCAGCAGGGCTCAAGTACTGCGATTATTTTTCTTTTTGGGTTGTTAATCCTTACCAGAGGATGTTTTTTCCATTGCTTTTTCAGAGAGAGTAAAAGGGTGGAGGGAAGGGAAAGGGGAGGAGAGAGAGGGAGAAACATCTATGTGAGAGACACATCGATTGGTTTCCTCCCTCATGTGCCCTTGACCGGGAATCAAACTCACAACCCTTTGGTTCAAGGGCTGATACTATAACCACTGGCCACACCAGCCAGGGCAGAACTGCTTGTTCCTTAATTATAAAATGCTGGAGTTTGTTATTATTTTAACCAATTCTTTGGTTAGCCTTACATGGGAAGTTTATCTTCAACCCATAATTTTCCAATAACTAGTTCTTAATCAGGGATTTGCTAAAGTATAATATCTCAAATTTTGCTTTCACTTTGACATTTCATTACTGAGTTTGTAACCCTAAACAACCAGCAAGTGGGAAACTGGTGAAAGAAGGCATGTACTCCATATAATTGGAGAGGATAGAAAAAGTCATAAAAGCCACTGCTTTGTATAGGCTGTAAAAGCAGTATTAAATATGGCACTTGTCCTCACAGGGAAATTAAAGGTAACATGAGGTAGTAGAAGGGATAAGCACTCAACTGTGCATATCCTGTGAGAGATTTTTGTGCGCCCAACAATACTTCTAAATGAATGGCTTGATCCCTTCTAAGTGACTTCACTTTGTCTCATGCAGACTCATCAGACCCTTGCACAGTTGAGAGGAAAGCCCGAAGAATTAGTGTGACCTCCAAAGTACAGGCGGATGTCCATGACACCCAGGCAGCAGCTGCAGGTGGTTTGTACTTGTGTGTCTAGCATTTGTGCAAAATGTCCAAAGACACGTGTTAACCCATGTAGAGCTATCATAAGTAAAGACCAACTTTTTTTTTTGCTTTAAAAAATTACTCTCTCTACTGAGTTTCTAAAGTGGTGCTGTCCAATAGAAATGTTAGCTATCTACATTAATTTAAAACATTTCTAGTAAACATTTAAAAACTAAACAAGTAAAATTAGTATATTTTTAATCTATACACAAGGTGTTATCATTTGAATATGAAATCAGTATAAATTATTATGAGATATTTTACATCTTTTAAAGATTTTTTTTTAAATCCTCATCCGAGAACATGTTTTTTATTGATTTTAGAGAGAGAGGAAGGGAAAGGGAGAAAGATAAACATTAATGTGAGAGAGCAACATCAATCGTCTACCTCCTGTACATGCCCTGAATAGGGTTCAAATGCATGGGATAGGACGATGCTCCAGCCAACTGAGCCACACCAGCCAAGGCGACATTTTTTAATTTAATATTAAATCTTCCAAATCTGGTGTAAATTTTACACTTACAGAGCATCTCAATTCAGAGTGGCCACATTTCAAGTGGCTATCGCATTGGACAGATTGCTCTGATAATTATGTCTAGAAAGCAAGGTGAAGGAGAAGGAATCAAGATGGTGGCATAGATAAAAGCAGTACTCGCTGCCTCCCACAACCACATCAAAATTACAACTAAAATACTGAACATCATTTATAACTGCCTGAAATCTGGCTGAATGGAAGTCTTACAACTAGAGAAGTAAAGAAGAAACCACATTGAGACTGGGAGGAGGGGCAGAGGTGCAGAACAGACTAGTCCGACACCCTCATGTGGCGTGTTTTAAATCGGGAGTGATATCAAGGCTGTGCGGTCTCCTGTGAGAAGCAGGGGGTCCCAGCCCCATACCAGAATGGTCAGCCCAGGGTTCCAGTGCCAGGAAGAGAAGTCCCCGTACTTTAGGCTGTAAAAATCAGCAGAGATTGTGGCTGAGTGACATGGAGGCTGCTGGATACCTAGGCAGTCCCTCTTAAAAAGGCCAGCACATGGACTTACTCAGACAATACCTCTGGGCTCCAGCCCTGGGGCAGTGGCTTTAGGGGATCCAGGGACATATGGGGAGGAACTGGAATGTCTGGCATTAGGGCAGGGGTTCTGGGGTGGCTTCCTTCCAGATGGGGGTGTTCACAGGGGTCATTGATCCTGTGCTGGAACCTCCCCATCACAGAGCTGACTGGCAGCCATATCTGAGTTTCTATCAGCATGGTTCACTCAGCCCTGGTGACTCCCTGAGGCCCCACCCCATCCAATTTGCAGCCCAACTCAAGCTGTTTGCAGCAGCTTTTCCATATGAATGGTCTTTACTGGTTCAGGTTTCAGACTTTTCTAAAATTTCTCACACAAGCAGTAGCTGGCATCAGTGTACCCCATACCTATCAATAAGAGGGCCAAGACCCGGCACTATCACCAGCCTGTGTACCTTCACAGCTTGTCCTTGCCTGAGCACTTCCAAGCCCAACACAAGTAGAAGGCATCTGCAGATCTCTCCGTAGCTCCTGCTTGGTGGCCCCATGCAGTGTTTGACCTTGCAACTCCCAGGAAGCCCAAAGCCAATGCACCTGGTGGACAGCTTCAGACCGTGCCAAATTACAATTCTACAAATCCATAAGCAACACACTCAAAGGGAAGACTCAGTGAGCACCAAAGCCCCACTGAAACAAGTCCTGCTCCATAGGGGTTTCTCCTGCTCAGCAGTTCTCCCACTGTAGTTGCAGCTGGTCCTCACAGCCAATTGGCCTAGAGGTCAATTCTTCTCAGTGACTCCAATAGCAACCAAGACTCAACTAAAACAAGACTATGCACAAACCCACACAGGGGCTCACCTAGAGTGCCCAGCTCAGGTGACTGGGAAGGCTGAGCCACTGGGCCCTATAGGACACCTACTACACAAGGCCACTTTACATATTCCAGGAGACATAGGTGCTCCACCTAATACATTGAAACAAACACAGGGAAGAAGACAGAAGGTGGAGACAAAGAAACATGTCACGAAGGAACAGAAGAAATCTCCAGAAAATAACCCAATGAAATGGAAGCAAACAAACTACTAGATACAAAGTTTAAAACAATGGTTATTAGGATGCTCAAGGATCTTAATGAGAGCTTCAGGGTTTTAGTGAGATTTTCAAGGATATTATTGAGAATTTCAAAGACATGAAAAAGGACCAGTCAGAAATTAAGCATACATTAACTGAAATAAAGAATAATTTACAGGGACTCAACAGAGGAGTAGAGTATTCCAAGAATCAAATCAACGCTTTGGAATATGAGGAAGCAAAAAACACCCAAACAGAAGAGCAAAAAGAAAAAAAACACACACAGAAATATGAAGATAGTGTAAGGAGCCTCTGGGACAACTTCAAGCATACCAACATTCGCATTATGGGGGTGACAGAAGAAGAAGAGAAAAAGCAAGATATTGAAAACCTATTTGAAGAAATAATGGCAGAAAATTTCCCCTACCTGGTGAAAGAAATAGACTTACAAGTGCAGGAAGCACAGAGTCCCAAACAAGAGGAACCCAAAGAGGACCTACACCAAGACACATCATAATTAAAATGCCAAGGGTTAAAGACAAAGATACAATCTTAAAAGCAGCAAGAGAAAAACAGTTACCTCCAAGGGAGTACCCATACAACTGTCAGCTGATTCTCAACAGAAACTATGCAGGCCAGAAGGGAGTGGCAAGAAATATTCAAAGTGATGAATAGCAAGGACCTACAAGCAAGATTACCCAGAAAAGCTATCATTTAGAATTGAAGGTCATATAAAGAGCTTCACAGACAAGAAAAAGCTAAGAGTTCATCAACTCCAAACCAGTACTACATGAAATGTTGAAGGTATTCTTTAAGAAGAGAAAGAAGATGAAGAGGAAGAAGAAAAAAGATAAAAATATGAATAAAATGGCATTAAATACATATCTACCAATAATTGAATGTAAAAAATCAAATGAACAAGGAATCTAATGAACAAAATTAATTAATAAAATAAAACCAGAGGCATGGAAACATAGAACAGACTGAGAAATCTCAGAGGGAAGGGGGGAGGGGACGGGAAGAGATTAACCAAAGAATTTGTATGCATATATGCATTACCTATGGACACAGACAATAGGGTGGTGAAGGCCTGGGGCAGGGCAGAAACTGAGTGGAGGAGGGCAAGGGAGGGGTGATATTTGTAATATTCTCAATAATAAAGATTTTTTTTTAATGAAAGCAATGCCAAGTAAATGTAACCTGAAAGCTCTGGACTTTATAACTTCTCACTGAGCATTTATAATGCTTCTTGAACTATATCCTGTGATTCAGTGAAAATAAGGTTTCTAAAAATACTGTACATGTTGGATTTGTACAAGTATTCTACTTGATATTATATTAACTAGATGGAAAGATCCTAACCTAAGAACAAACCAAGCATGAAACTGTATTACACTTCATATAGTTAAAAGAAATAAAGTTGTCTTTCTTTATCATTGGCATATTTCCCATTTTGGAAAAATATCAGCTATCTTTGAAACTGTAGAAAATATTTAGAATTTTTGAAAATTTTATTTGCATCCTTTTGAGCATTTTTATCTTCTGTATGCTAATTATGTAATATAAACAGTATTAAATTGATGTGATATTTATGAGGATGGTCATTTTGTGGAAATTTATCCTATTAAAGGAAACACCTATTTATTTCCGTTTTATTATGTATAAACATTCATATTAGTTTTTATTTTCCATGAGGTCTGAACTATCTTAACTTGTAAACTGTTCCATAAAAAGCTGTACGTTTCTGTAAGTCATATGAAAATAGACATCTAAAATGTATTTTGTGTTTTAGATGCTTCTATTTCAACACTACTTCCTTATGATGAAATGAGCAGTGTCTTTTTTTTTTTAGCAGTATCTTTTTTAGGACCAATAATAATTCTAAATTAGGTGCCTTTTAGGCCTGGCCAGCATGTATCCATAGTTAGAGCATCAACTCTGTGCACCAGGGGGTCACAGGTTCAATTCCTGGTCAAGGGCATGTACCTGGGGTTGTAGGTGGGATCCCCACAGGGAGATAACCAATGGATATATCTCTCTCACATTGATGTTTCTCTCTCTCTCTCTCTCTCTCTCTCTCTCTCTCTCTCTCTCTCTCTCTCTCTCCCCTGCTCACTTCCACTCTCTAAAATCAATGGAAAAAATATCCTCACTCCTTGGGTGAGGATCAAAAAAAAATTATAAATTAGGTGCCTTTTAAATATATTTGTTGAGAAGTTATTTCAGAGAGAGATACAGCGATTGGTTGCCTCCGCATGCACCCCAACCAGGGCCGGGGATTGAGCCTGCAACCAAGGTATGTGCCCTTGACTGGAATCAAACGCACGACCCTGAGTCCATGGGCTGACGCTCTATCCACTGAGCCAAACGTGCTAGGGCAAGCCCATCTTTTTATAGTCTCAGGAATAGGTTAGAGAACCCAATGATTCTATTGTAAGGCTAAGATCACCTCCTGATTGAGCCTGAGCCTTAAGCTTGCAGTAAGGTTCAGGGGTCTAACACCCAATTTTCTTTATCTCTAGAGTCTAGGGAAATGTTCACACCAGCCATTTGTCATTAAAGACAAATTGGTAAACCACAGTCAGCTCATTCACTTCACTTTCAAGAGAAGATAAACTTAACCCAGAATGGTAATTAATTAAAACTTTACCAGGTCTCAGTTTCTTTTACCTGCTTAGGAAGGCTGCTTACCTTAGATTATAACGTCATCTCCAGTTCACAGAAAGGATTTTCCAGTGTTTTATGGTGCATTTTCACAGCCTCCTGACCTTGCTCCAGATTCCAGAGTGAATTCCATCCAGAGATCTTTAGCCTCTAGTTACTGACGCCATTTTCAGAAGGGACTGTTCCTAAAAGGCAGGATTTACAAATTAACTCTAGAAGCCTTTTGAACACAAGGCCAGAGAGAATGAGGACTTAGGAAGAGTATAAGTTAAGTTTCAAGGTTCGTTTTGGTTTTTATCTTTTTAAGAGAGAGAAAGACAATTTGTTGTTTCACCCATGTATTCATTCATTGGTTGTTTCTTGTATGTGCCCTGACCAGAGGTTGAACCCACAACCTTGGTGTATCAGGTCCACATTCTAATTGAACTACCCAGCCAAGACTTAGTTTAAAGGTTTTTTAAAATAAAATCCCAAGGACTAACATAAAGTTGCCAGCATTTTATATTGCCTACACATAGACATTTAAAAAAAAACTAATAGGTAGGAAAGAATCCTATATAATAAAAGCCTAATATGCTAATGATATGCTAAGGCTGCTCAGCCGCTTGCTATGACGTGCACTGACCACCAGGGGGCAGATGCTCCGACTGGTAGGTTAGCTTGCTGCTGGGGTCCGGCTGATCGGGACTGAGCGAGATGGGCCGGACATGCCCCTGGAGGCCTCACGGGTCCCTCCCTACCTGGCCAACCTCCCGCATCCCTCCATGGCCCTAATTGTGCACCAGTGGAGTCCTTCGGCCTGGCCTGCGCCCTCTCACAATGTGGCCTGGGACCCTTTGGGGCAGTGGTTCTCAACCTTCCTAATGCCACGACCCTTTAATACAGTTCCTCATATTGTGGTGACCCCCAACCATAAAATTATTTTTGTTACTACTTCATAACTGTAATTTTGCTACTGTTATGAATCGTAATGTAAATATCTGATATGCAGGATGTATTTTCATTGTTACAAATTGAACGTAATTAAAGCATAGTGATTAATCACAAAAACAATATGTAATTATGTATGTGTTTTCCAATGGTCTTAGGCAACCCCTGTGAAAGGGTCGTTCGACCCCCCAAAGGGGTCGCGACCCACAGATTGAGAACCGCTGCCTTGGGGCATGTTGGAGAGCCAGTTTCAGCCCGATCCTGCAGGCCAGGCCGAGGGGACCCCACTGGTGCACGAATTCATGCACGGGGCCTCTAGTCTGAGAATAAAAAGATAATTGTTTACATTGAATGAATTTAGCTTATAAAAAAGTAACTGTAGGGGCTTTATCTTTCTCTTTTTACCATTCTGGGGAAAATTTTGTTATGAACTCTTACTGCCATTTATGAACCATCATTATTAAACACATGCATATTGTGAAACTGATGGTCTAAAAGAAGTTGCACATTTAATCAGATGTTTAATGTAGTATGGCTAGTATGAGGGGGTGACACATAGGACTGAAGATGGCAGGAGGAAGCAGAATTAATTTTTTAAATATCTTTTTTATTGATTTTGTAGGAAGGGAGAGGGAGAGGTAGAAACATCAATGATGAGAGAAAATCATTGATTGGCTAGATATCAAGCCAGCAACCCAGGCATGTGCCCTGACCTGAATCGAACCACAATCTTCTGGTTCATGGGTCGACGCTCAACCACTGAGCCATACTGGCTGGTCATAGAATTATTTTTAACATGCTATATAACATCTCATTTTTTTCATTTGGCTGGAATAACTACTGTCTATGGATAATGAGCTTGTTAACCACTATCTATGGATAATGAGCTTGGAAGGTAATCTATACTAGACTTGTTGTTTTTGTTTGTTTTTTATTTCAGTTTGGATTATACTTGGGGGGAAAAAATCAATCTATTTTCTCTCTTTCCATTCTAACTTCCCTCAGAGCATCTACCTGGCTCCAAGCACAATCCTCAGACACAGCCCCGAGATGAAGACTATGAAGGGGCCCCATGGAATTGTGACAGCTGTACGTTTCTGAACCACCCAGCACTAAATCGCTGTGAGCAGTGTGAGATGCCCCGATACACCTGAGTTCAGAAGAGTCTGCACCAGGTTGACAGTGAAGCTGAGCGCCCATAAGAAGAAAAGGAAACTGCGGGGATCTTCATCTGTCCAGCCTTTTCATTTCAGATTCCATAGGGGGTGGAGGAATGCACTGTAGCTGCCTGTGCTCACTACAGGAAAAATGGGGAAGGTTTTTTCCCTTCTTAACTCATTACAGAGTGAGAGACAGAAAGGGATACTTGAAACTGGGAAAGGATTCTCTCCTGAAAGAATGTACACAGAGAAGTCAAGAGCTCTTCTGTGGGATCCAGTTGTTGAAGTTACTGCTGAGTGGCCCTTATTTTGTAAACTAGAACTTGGAATCATAGTGTGACATATTACAGTTTATGCAGACAAACTGTGAATCCCCATAGCAGACTTACCTGGTCACAGCTCTCTGAAAAACAAAGCGCCTCCCCCCTTCCCCATGCTTTTTCCCATTGCTTCCTCCTGAAGAGGACAGGGAAAAGCACTTAGAATATGATGGGCGGCGGGGGGCAAAATAATAGGGTATTTGTAATTGCTGCTTTTTTCAGGGGTAATTTCCAACACACAAACAGGATGTTTTAAAATGTGATTTGCAGTAGTCAGGAATTAGGCATATTGTGCCCTTTGTCAAAAGTATAATCATTGCTTGTGCAATGATTCAAGCTATATCAACACTGGTAACCAAGACCTAATTACGCCACATAATAGATATATTTTTGAAGTTACTGCATGCTTTTATTAGGTCATTGGTTTTAAAAATAACAAACGAGTCCTTACAAAGTATAATTTTATGAATGACCTTCTCGTAAAACTGTGCTTTATCAGTTGCACAATGAATGTATGCCAATTGTAAATCCATTCCAAAATCCATTTGGAAACCTTGATCTCAGCTGTGGTTCTACAAGATACATTTGCAGTACATAGGGCCTTTTCTGCCCCCTCCTTTCAGTTTTGTGAGGGATTCATGATGTTTACAGCACAGATAATACTTTGTGCCATAATCCTAACTTAGCTGAAAAAAATTAATTTTAGTTCAATAAATATTTTTTTGCACATACATTCATAAACCAGAGAGGGAAATTACAGTGGGCTAATATAAAGTTGGGGAGGAAGAGAAGGGTAGTCAAAAAATATGATTAAGAATAAGGTGAATAAAAAGGACTTTGAAGCTAAGAACTTTTCAAATTTAACATACTATATTCAGAAATAACACTGAGTTTGTTCCAAGTAGTTCAAGTGATACTGAAGCACTCCTTATGTCTGAAACTAGAACTTTAGGGTGTGCACAACTGAAGAGATGTAAAATCATGTAATTCCCTAGAATGCACCACTAGAAAAATTTTAATAAGACATTCAATTAAGGATTCTACCATCGTTGAGAATTGGATTTTGGAATCTTCCCCTTATTTGGGTAAATATAAACAGCAATGAAATTGAAATTTTTTCTAATCCTTAAGGATTTTTCCTGGGGTTATAAATTTAGAAATATCCACCTTACACACACACACACACACACACACGCTTCAAGCTGTCATTGCATTCTAATTTGGCAGTAATCTCTGGCAGACCTGGAAAAATAAGCTGCACTTAATACCATAATGAAACCAAAGGCATAACAAATCATCATAGTTTTCCATCAAAATCATACTTTCACACTCTACAAAGTGTGGCTATGTAATAACACTGATAAAACATCTCTCATACAACAACTGTGGCAAAACTGTGAAAACAATGGTGAGAAAGCAGATGGACTTAAAAGCATTGACCTGAAAACAGCATCCTTTAAAGGCTTTTGTAACATGTATCTGTCAGTCTCCAATAACAGTCTATCAGTCCTATTCTGTAATATTCCATCATCATTGCCTTTGTATGGTTTCATTATCTCTTTAGTGATTGTGGACCCCACTTGGTATTTAGTAACAATTTAGGGGGAAATCTATATACTGCTTGGTGTTTTAGCTAAAGGTTTACCAATATTCTTAGTGATATGCTCAAGTGGCAGCAGCTAACTTGGCAGTTGGCAGTTGAGAGTGAAAGTAGCATGTATGAAAACAGTTTGATGCTTTATTAAAACCATGTAGATGACTTTAAAACTATTGCATGAACATACATCCAGGTTACTAAGCTGCTGTCATACAGTAGATGCATGGTTCCCATCCTTTGGTGATATATCTAGTCAATCATTGTTTTCACCTGCCAGGGAAAATGAGAAACCAGTCTATTTGATAGGTATAGAGGGTGGGGTATGACACATCAGATTGATTTTAAGGAAGTGTTTTGTATGTGTTCATTTCTGATTGTGCACAAGTTTCATACACCAACATAGGCTGTATTCAGTTTTTAAAATAAGCAAAATCATTGGATACTGATAAATCTGATACATTCAACTGTGTCCCATATATCCATTACTTCTTGTCTGTGACCAGTTTGAATAAGAATTCAGTCAACTTTCAAGGTAAAGGATCTCCTAGTTAGATTGATATATACAGACAATTGGCATATAAATGGTAGGATACAAATTGGATGTTGCCTGCCTGCTGATGGGTGCCTACGCTCTTTGGATCAATTGGTACACTTGTTTCTATTAAAAACTTTTTTTCTTAACACAGACCTAACGACACATTTTATTATTTTTGTTAATTCTCATCTGAGGATATTTTTTCCATTGATTTTTTTTTTCAGAGAGAGTGAAAGGGAGGGAGGGAGGGACAGAGGATGGGGGGGAGGAACCATCCATGTGACAGATACATATACATGAATGGTTGCCTCATGCAGACACCCTCTCGGAGCAGAGTGAACCAGGTATGTGCCCTTGACTGGGAATCAAGCCCGAGACCCTTTGGTGGGCAAGCTGACGCTCTAGCCACCATGTAACGCCAGCCAGGCCAGACACATTTCAAATATTTCACTGTTTTAAAAACTGGGTTTTTGGAGAGCACATTTACCATTTTGTTAAAGTGCATGGCCCCCTAAATTTTGGAGTAAGTCTTAAAAGTTTATAGAGGACCCAGAAACTTTCTAATAAGCATTGTAAAAATGTTTCAAATTGATATTGACCTTGTTTGGGAGAGGGTAGAGGCAGGGTTTTAAAGAAATAAAGAAATGCATTGTAAAAGTAGTTTTTAGAGCAGACTAACGGTGGGGGAAGTGTTGCTAATTTGTTTATTTCCCTGAAAGAAATGGGATGTGTGATGAGCAGTTTAATAATTTTTAAGGAGCTGGTCTCAATTTTAGTATTTTAATTATTCCCTAAAATTTTGTCATTGCTTTGTCCCAGTTATCTAAGGTTCATACCCAGCTTTCTGTGGCAACTCAAGTTTTATGTAGTATTTTAAGAGATAATTGTAATGTCTGATGGTATAAACAAAAAGAATATAAGGTATAGGAAGATTGTTCTTTGAAAATATCAACAATGTATCCTGGAATGTGAAGATGTCCCTTTATAGTTAAAACTGATTTATTTTAATACTGTAGTCATTGTTCAGACTTTGAATGAGTTCATGTTACAGTGTGTGTCTGTATATCTGTAGAGAAGGAAAAATGATCACTGAAATGTTACTTTAAAAAAATCACTAAATTAGGCACTGTGTTGCACCACTACTGAATCTTTCTGAGAGAATTAACAGTGTTTTCTTACTGTAAAATTTAATTGTGATGACATTTTCACATTCACCAGAAATGCATTTTTTCCTATATCATGTGCAACCCCAGATATTTAAAATTAGATTTTGCATGGCATGGGCATTCCGAAATTAATAGAATGGCTCAATTTTAATTTTTAAAGCCATGAAAAGTTACTTTGAGACTGAACAATTCTGAATTCTTAATGATACCCAATGTCCATGTTTTCCTACTATAAAAGAATTTATCCATTTCTTTATTAAAACAGCAAGAACTTATTAAATCTTGTAAATACCATGACTCTTAGATTTCTGTGTATGCTGTGAATCAAATTATTTTGAAGTGAAATTGTACAAAGGCAATTTAAAAGGCTATGCATGCATTGTACCTCCAAACAATACATATTTGGAAAGTCAATGATTCCTGCAAAATAAATCAATAAACAAAAAGGAAACTTTACATTCTGCATCTTTTCTGTGTAGTTAGAAATGACTTACAGTATCAAACCTGTTCTAGTTCCAACACTTATATTTTCTGGTCTGAAATATGCTCTCAGAAACCTACTATTTGGTCACATTTATGTTCTATTAGAATATGTACTAATGTTAAATTTTGAGGTATTACATATACATTACTCTAATTTTAAATTGGGTTAACGTATATATAAGCAAATTTTATATAAAAGGTAGAATATGTTAGGAACTTACATTATTTACTACTCACAAAAGAACGTAATATTTATTATCTTTATATCATTTGTAGCTAATTTTTCAAAGGCAAATAATCACGGAGACCCTGAACCTTGATTTGCTAGAGTTTGGAGTTAACTTCCCAGCTTTTGCACAGAAATTACCACAGATGAATTATAGTAGATAGACTATTCAATGATTAAGACTATGTATTTATTATAGAAACATCAAACAGACCATCAAACCTCAGAGGGAAGGCAGGGGAGGGAGAAAGGGGTTAGAAATCAACCAAAGGACTTGTATGCATGCATATAAGCATAACCAATGGACACAGACAGTCGGGGGGTGAGGGTATATGCTGGGAAGTGGGAGCGGCTGGGGAGAGGTCAATGGGGGGGAAAGGAGACATATGCAATACTTTAAATTAAAAAGATAAATCATGTCCTATTGAAAAAAAAAACAAAAAATGTATTTCAAGTCAAAATAATTTCTATTTTTACTGTAAGAAAATTTTTGGACAAGTACAGAAGAATCATATGATCCTGCATTTATCACCCAACTTCCAAAATTATCCATATATAAGCAATCTTATTTCAGCAAGTTCTTATCCACCTCTCTAATTATTTTGAAGCAAATCTCAGACATAGCAAGTCATCTAAATTTAACATAAGCACCATATACTCATCACACCTTACAAAATAATGTATTATTAAATATCTAGTGTTAAGTTACCAAAGTTTTCTTAGGAATTTTTTTACAAGCATATCTAAATTAGGGTATAAATAGAACACTTGAAATTATGTCTCTTACATCTTTAATCTGTTTATATATTTCCCCTCCCTTTCTGTCAGAAATCATAAGGATACTTTACCTCATCAACTATTAGTATATGGTTATCTTCCACCACATCTTACAGTAAAGTAATGCAAAGAAAGATCAAAGATAACTTTAAAAATAGTATATAAAGCACCTGGTCAGTGTGGCTCAGTGGTTGAGTGTTAACCCATGAACCAAGAGGTCACTGGTTCAATTCCCTGTTAGGGCACATACCCAGGTTGTGGGCTCGATCCTCAGTAGGGGGCATGCAGGAGGCAGCTGATCAATGTTTCTATCTATCCTCCCTTTTTAAAATCAATAAAAATATTTTAAAGATAATAAAATTTTAAAAATAGAGACTTGATTTTTTAAAAATACTATGTATTCCACTTGACCCAGTGATCCCAATTCTGAGAATATATCCTAAAAACTCCAGAACACCAATTAGAATATATGCACCCTTATGTTCATAGCAGTGTTATTTACAATAGTTAAGATTTGGAAACAGCCCAAGTGCTCATCAGTAAATGAATGGATTAAAAAAAAAAACCTGTGGGACATTTACATAATGCAATACTATGCAGCTGTAAAAAAGAGGGATCTCTTTCTTACCCTTTGGGACAGCATCGATGGACCTGGAAAATATTATGCTCAGTGAAATAAGCCAAACTGAGAAAGACAAATATCACATCATCTCACTTATTTGTGGAATCTAATGAACAAAATGAATTGACTAACAAAATAAGACCCAAAGCAGGGAGGGATGGAACAGACTGACATACCTCGTGGGGTTGGGTAGATAAGAAAAGATAAACCAACAAACTTATATACTTACTAAGTGGCCCAGTGCATGAATTCATGCACATTGAAAGGGAATTAATTAGAAGAAATACTTTAATATCACTATTTGCCAAGTCTGGGTACGGGTATCCAACTCCCTCCTCCCTCCTGTCGGTCTATAATGGCGCCCAGGGGGACGCAGTGACAAAGCCGGTGCCCCGCTGGGCTGCGGGACTTCCCCAAGTCTTAGAGTCCTGCAGCCCCACGGGGCCAGCGCCCCAGGGGACACAAGGCTGGTGAGGGGGATGAGAGTGGTGGCCTGGCTCTAAAAAAACTGCCCTGGGCCTCCCTGAGTTACCTCTGGGTTCCCCTGTGAAAATGGCCAGAGGCGTCAGGGCTGATTGCGGAGCCAGCGGCAGCAGCAGTGGAAGAAGCTTTCCTGGCTGGCTCTTTGCCTATCACGGCAGCAGGACTGCGGCAAACAGCAGAACATGCCGTGGTGGGAACGTCTCTATCAAATGAGCTGGGTAGGGGCTGTTTTAGAACGTGGCTGCCTGGCTACCAGGGTTCCATGTTCTGTTGGGCTCCATTGTCAGGGAGTGAGGTCACTGCTCCTGTCAGGAATGAAATCACTGCTCTTGTGTGGGGAGAAGCTCAGGGTAGGGGACCAGGCAGTGACCAGGGAGGTTTTCTGTCATGTTCATACCCCAGGTCAAGCCTGGCAGGTGAATGTGGAGTGTGGGCAGCTCCCACTACCCCAGGTTTATCCCGACACTGGAGCTGAACCTCATTTCTCCCGGGTGGAGGTGGAGTGGAGGTGGTGCCCTTTGCCCTGATGTTTAGCCCAAGGGGCTCCCCCGATGCACCTCCTGGTCAACTTCCCTCCAGCACCCTCATGCACGCAGGGTCAAGCCCAGCCCCACCCACCTGCGCACGCCTGCTGTGCAGGGCATCACGGCATCACGGCGTGAGAAACACCTAGGCTTTTATTAGTAATATATGCATAGCCCATGGGCATGGGCAATAGGGTGGTGAAACCTAGGGGGTGGGGAGGGGCTGGGGAGGGGGAAGGAGGGTTAATGGGAGATATCTGTAATACTAGCAACAATTTAAAAAATAGTAGGTAAAGTATTTTTCTTATTCCCCTTATCATTTCCTGCATCCTAGATTGTCATTTTTTAAAGAATTAATTTTAGTTTTAGAAAGAGAGGAAGGAGGAGAGGGAGAGAGAAACAATGTGAGAGGGAAACACCAATCTGTAATCCATTATCTGTATAATGATATCTTTATGTAGTGATTAGCTCAGTTTTCCATGCAGAAGTGTGGGGGACTGCTGGGCGTGGATGCCCAGGGTTTGTCTCCCACCTCCATTTCTACAAAAACTTCCTGACTTGACTTTGGCCTGTTGGCCCTTTTTCAGGACATTACCAGGAGATGTTTGGTGTCTGAGGTTTCAAAGGTTTTAATAGAGTATATAATATGTGGGTAAGATTTTGGTTCATCAGATCCAGATTCTCATAGCAGTCATCTCCTGAACAGTGATGGGTGTGCTTTTGACCACCCTTCCATGGCTTGTGAGAAAAATCAGGTGATACAGCCTAGCTTCCTAAAGTTTTGGATTGTAGTTTGGAAACAAAATGCTAGTTATTATCCTCTATAATTAAAGCCTAATATGCTAAGTGTCCCGTTGACTGGTTG